CCACAATTGTCGTGGTTCTACTTGTTTCGATTTGGCTCACTGAAGACGTCTCCTCTTTGCTTCTGATTGTTGCATTCTCATCCCCCTGCGATCTCTTTTCCTAAAATTAAGGATATTACCTTGATCCAGTCGTCTTTATTTTGCTGATTTTGATCTTGTCTGGTTTTATCCGAGTTTGTTTAGGAAAAATGCAAAGTTTTCGCTCATCCTGACTTCTTTAAGTCTCCTGTTCATTAGATTTCTTTCAGTCAGGATAGCAAAGGCCTCTCGGATCAGGCTTTTTCTCGTATTTTTATCATATCCAGTCAGCTTTTCTGTCGATTTCGGATTTATCCATATCCATGTTTCTACAGAGTCTTAAATATTCCTTGATTTATGGGCCAATTTGTATTCCTGTTTCCCCATCATACTTCTACTCACAATTACCTCGTTTGATGTGATAAACTCCCAAACAATCCAATTTGCCAATCTTTTCGTCTTGTGTCGCCAGACTGATGAAAGTGTTGTCTTCTCCTTTATGGTCACCTCGATATTCTATCTACTTACTTACGGTCAGATTTTTTGGCTCAATTTAGAGGAGGGCAGGCATGTCTGTTTTTCGTCGTCCTAATTCCTGATCTGATTTTCATAAAATCCAATTTGCAATTGGCTTTTCATAACTTCTACACTTTTTTCTATAAATTCTCTGGGGTATCATTTACTTAGACAAATTCGTGTCAGTTTGTCCACCTCCTCGTCTCAGAACTCAGTTTTTGTTAATCCTAAGCTTCTGATGATCGAACTGCTTAGTATTCCCATCTTTAGTCTGTTGTTATGGTGAGACTGAAAATTAATGATTATTCCCTCATATGAATTAATTCTATATAGTCTCCTCATGAGTGTCCCTTCGGAGCGCATTACTTCAATAGCCAAGGACGAGAAGGTGGACAAACTGACACAGATTTGCCTAGTAACGGATACCCCAAAGGATTTATAGAAAAAGGGTTGAGGTTATAAAAGGCCGATTGTAACTTGGATTTTATGAAAATCTGATCAGGAATCAGGACGACGAAAAGCGGACATGCCTGCCCTCCTGTGAATTGAGCCAAAAATTGTGACCGTAAGTAAGTAAATAGAATATCTTGGTGACAAAAAAGGAGAAGACAACACTTTCATCAGTATGGCGACGCAACACGCAAATAATGACAAACTTGATTGCTTGGAAGTTTATCACATTGTGGACAGAAGTATATTGGGGAAAGAGGAATAAAAATTGGTCTATAAATCAAAGAATATCTAAGACTCTGTAGAAAAATGGATATGGATGAATCCGAAATCGAAAAAAAAGCTGGCTGGATATGATAAAAATACGAGAAAAAGCAAGATCCGAGAGGCCTATGCTATCCTGACTGAAAGAAATCTAATGAACAGGAGACTTGAAGAAGTCAGGATGAGCGAAAACTTTGCATATTTCCTAAACAAACTCGGATAAAACCAGGCAACATCAAAATCAGCAAAATGAAGACGACTGGATCAAGGTAATATCCTTAATTTTAGGAAAAGAGACCGCAGGGGGATGAGATGGCGACAATCAGAAGCAAAGAGGAGACGTCTTCAGTGAGCCAAATCGAAACAAGTAGAACCACGACAATTGTGGCTTGGCACACAAGAGACTAGGTCATAGGAAGTGATAGACCTGGTATTGCGGATTAAGACAGGAGAGACATGGGGGAGACTCAAGCTGTTTGGCTAATAATAGACGTGTTTGATCTTAAACGTGATCCTTGAATCACGACTATTTTTAGCCAACCAGCTCTAGTTTCCACTGTTTTTATCCTCTTTCTATCTCTAATACCAAGCCTATGACTTCGTATGCCCTAGTGTCTTGTGTGCCAACTAAGGCATAGAAAGTCATATACTTTGTATAATGGAAAGAAACAGGTTAGATGCGGCGGAGTCTGGATCTAGTTGGCTGAGAGTAGGTCTGTTGTACCATAAAGCTGCTCCATATAGCAAAGGCTTGATGATGCAACTTACTTAGAGGCTTGAGTCTCGAATTAGTCACCCAGACGGAGGAGAGGGCGAATAACGTTCCGAAAGTGGCAAATGGGGTAGCAGGAGTCGAGTGAATTATGTGAACCAGGGAGAGAGCAGACGGATCTTACAGGGCAAGAGTGAGACTGTGATAAGACCTAGGGAAGAAGGACTGCGTAACAACATGGCCGACTCTGAGCAACATTTCCACACAAGAGTGAAGTGGTTGAGAACGGACGGGGTAAAGTGTGAAATGTTTTCATTATTGCTGCACAAAGAAGCACAACACACGACGTCGAAATTGACACGGTACAAATTGTAGCAGTGAAGGTGTGATCGGAGAACATGGAAAATGTGAATAGCCCAGGTCAGAGGTGGAGATACCACAACTGTTTAGCACATCTTTGGTCAAATGATCGGCTTCAGTTGTCTCTTTGGCGAATTGTTATGTGGAGCTAGAAATGGCAAAAATAACTGACGATGCCGACTGCGGTGCCGGCGAAATGTGTGCGAATGTTCCACGTCCACGGTCCCACTCTGGAAATGATGATGTAGACAATGGACTACGGACTATGGTGATTCCTCTAAGTCTTCCTACCAACATGACCAAGTTACGAGAACAAGGTCAAACAACCTCGATACAACGAACGGAGACTGCGACCACACAAAAGGCCACACAATCTTGGTCTTCATACCTTTGATTATAAAATTTATTCTTTATTTTATTATAATGACGTAAACAATCTGGAAGATGTTGGTATAAATCAATCCCGCTTAGAATTTAGCCAGTTTGATATAATTCGCTTGAATTCACTCAATTCGTTCTGTACATTAATTATGCTTAAAAATAAACCATCCAGATGGGACAAAACACCCGCTTGTTTCATCAGCTCACATGTTTCGGCATATTTGTATACAGCCGAAGTCTAATGAAATTCACCCCGCAATTTTTATTTAAAATTTTCTAATGCATAGTAAATATATTTATTATTTTTCATTTATAAGCAGGTTTTCGAGACTACCAGTGGATCATATGTATGGGGTGTATTCACTCTCTTTCACAACAGAATATGATATGCGAAAATTCCTTGTCTTCCTTGGAATGTATATCTGCCCTGTGACCCAAGGACACTCATGGCGATGTGGCAGAGTGATTAACGTGCCAAAATTGCATGTTGTACAATCACGACTAGAGTTTGAGTCCCGCTGGGAGCGCTGAGTAAATCTGCGAGAAGTCAAAACTGAAGCCAACTTCAGTCTGAATGAGAAAACTAATTGAGAAGCCTCTCCATGTGAAATTTAATGGAGAAGTAAAATCTAATGATATGATTGTGAGAAAATTGAACTACCAGTCTCCGTATCACCTTAAACGAAATAGTGTGAGTGCACCTCATATATATTATAGTTCTTGCTTCCAAATGTATCTCAATTACTTGCATGATCGCTTAGGTTAGGTGGTGACTTGAGTTTTAGTTTTGCCGAAATTTTGGAGCACCATTTAAGATAAAAAAAGACCACACATTTCATAATAGAATAAATCTCGTTATCTCAACTCAGCCAATTTGTTGTTTAAGAGAATTTTCTGATTTGACTAGTCGTATACAATTCTAGCATGTCTAGCTATAATTCAAATAGTATTAGTTAAATCTGTTATTTGTTATAAAAAAATAATTATTTCCATAAATGATCTTACTGGGAGGTTGACACTTAATCATTGTGGTATCCCAATGGGAGGATTTGTTTCGACACATGCCTCATAGAATCAAATCCTTTAGCTGGTATGACAGCCTTTTAAGATATTCTTTAAGAGTACAATTCTGCTCTTTCAGTGAGTTTCACGATTATCTTTCGCTGAAAAAACTTTACGCACTGTGCTTGTTTATTTCTCATAGCTTCGTTATTAGATACCAAAAATAAAATCAGCTCGGTAATCACGTTTATTTTGATTAATTTTTTTATAAACTCTTTTTCAACAAGATGCTACAGTGAGATATGTTCAGAGCGACTAATTCTGGTTAACCCCAAAATGTTTTGCACCCTACAGTCTGCCCAACTTGAGGCAAAGCTGATAAATGAAGTGTTTTTAGAGCCTGCTCGTTATTCTTGCATGCGGGCAGGTTTATCATGTCCCATTAAGCCTTTCGTGTAATGTGTGAATCACACAATTCGAATATATTTTGCATTTGGGTTTGCGTCTGGCCGATTCAAAGGTTGGCAGAAATGTTTCCATCCACAGCTTTATAGAAGGTATGCACAAATCTCGATTAATAGCGTTGCCCCATCTTCCGATTGCATCTGTACCTTTCTGGACTGGACCAATCCCAGAAGCGAATAAGTTGCACACTCTATTCACTTATGCCCGGGACAGGTTAATTATCCATTTCACTGCTGGCAGAAGAGCAGCATCGCGTGTAGTCGAGGCAGATGCGCTGATCTCTGATCCAGCCGTACAAGTTGGCTCCTGTAGGGCGACGGAAAAAAGAGAGCATGAGCCAAAGCAACCGACGGCACGGTAATGGGGCAATTAGGTTGACTGCTGAGCAGAAGGGTGGTGAATCATTGGAAGTCTCGAGTGGAATTCTGCATGTGAAGCAAAATATCCACTTGTTGCTGTGTGCATGCACTTCGCTGCGTGATTCTGATGTACAGCAATTACTCTTCATTGCCACTTATCTGCTCCAGGCTTTATAAGCTTGAAAGCGAATAGGACAGTAGGAAATTCTATGCGAATGGTACCATCGAAAAATTGATCCTTTTTGACGAAGAGTGTTTCTTCTCGTGAAGTGATTGGCTGCCATGTGAAGAGGGAAAAAAGACATTTCAGTCAATGAGAATCGGCCTAAAGCACTGAAGAACGTATTGTTTTTGCAGACTTTATAGCCATGCCAGGTAGGCTGCAGTTCATAGCAAATATTCTGCGCTGTATGGCCCTTAGGCGATAGGGTTTGTGCTTGGATAAATTCTTTAGGCTTGTTGAAGCATCCGTTAACAACAATTCATTTGGAATTAGCTGGGCTAATGACTTTCTGTGATATTCTTAATTGGCTCCGGTGACATTCTCTTGCTACAATCTCGCCTCATTAATATGCAGCGGAGGCCAACGCTGACAGATGAGGGGAAAATTCTACGTTCTAAATTATGTTAAGTGCTTTACTACATGTAGAGCAGGAATTTTTC